AAAAAAAAAAAAAAAAAAAAGAAAATGCACACTTAAAAATGCACAACATAGCATACTTACATAGCATAGTTACAGTTCTTAACACAGTACTAAGATGTAACTTCTGCAAATCTTTCATTAATAATTTGCAACAAATGCTAATCATGACACTCAAAATTAGCTTGATTATTATCTAGTAACAAATGAAAAAAGTTCAGAGTGAATTAATGACCTTTAAAACAAAGACAATATACAGGAATACTTTTATTAAGGAGCACTAGTCAGGGAAGACAAAAGAGGAGACAGGCCTCAGCCCTGAAGAACCCTCCAGTGTCACCAAGTCTGATCTTCCAGTCTGTCATTCATTAGAGTTGTCAAGAAAATAAACTATGAGATATCATGAAGTTACCAAACAAAAATCATTCCCTTTCACTAGTTTCACTCTACATTGAGACTCAACTAAGGATCAAAAACAATCGTCAAAGAAGCCTGCACTAATCAACTATTGAGACTTAGGTACAACACCCTGCAGGTCTGCCTTAAAATAATGATGAAAATAGTAACTTTTATCTTTAAAATAGGGAAGGAGAACCATGTTTGTTCTCTCTTAAGAGTTCTGTGTGTGTGTTTTATTTTATTTTTTATTGTTTGGGATTCACTGAGGGTACAAAGAATTAGGTTACACTGATTGCATCTGTTAGAGAAAGTCCCTCTTATAATTGTGTCCTGCCCCCAAGATGCATGTCATAGACCGTGACTGCCCACCCACCTCCTCCCCTCTCTGAACATACCCCTGGGAAAAGAATCCCTTTTCAATAAACAGTTGTTAGAACTGGATAGCCACATGTAAAAGACTGAAACTGGTCCCACACCTCTCAACACTCAAAAAAATTGATTCAAGATGGATAAAAGATTTAAATCTAAGGAATGAAACAATAAAAATACTTGAAGAAAGTATGGGGAAAACACTTGAAGATACCAGCTGGGGAAAGAGTTTATGAAGAAGACTTTCGTGGCGATTGCAACAACAACAAAATAAACAAATGGGACTCTCAGAGTTTTGTTGTTTTCTTTAAAAAGAGGTTTGAAATCATAGGCAAGACTCCCTCTGGTGGAAAATTTATACTATTCCACTTCATAGTGCCATTAGAGCAAAGG